TCAATATCTCAGCATTCAGTGATCATAGAAAGACGATCTAATTACCATTCGATTTGTCATTATGAGACGATTCCAACGAGTTATGGTGCATCTTTCTACGATCATTGGATGCCGAGTTATTATGTGAAACTTAATATTTTTAGGTTTTGACAATTTCGACATGTCAAAACTATTTCAGCATTTCAGCATTTCAACAGGTTTTAGTTTCAACATTTTAACAATAGCCTGTAGAGTTTTGGCAGGCAACTTTAGTCACCTCTGGTAACAAATCATCTGCCAGGACATCACCAGTAAAATCATTTATGGTGGAGACTTTTGAGAACATAGATATAGAGTGTTAAAAAATTCCTTATAATTAAAAGTGGAGTAAGATTTGAAATGGGAATTATCCTCCACTGAAGTTAGTGATAGTAAGATTAATAAGGCGTTTGATATTCAGATTTCTAAGCTCTCTTTAGAAGCAATTCTGATAGGATCTAGTGAAGTTATGGTACAGAATATAGTTGATTTATTTAGAGTAGCAATAAAGCTTAGACGTAAGGAGATTTTATGCTGGTATTGTTACTATAAAGCATATGTTGGGAATGTTAAGTCTAAGAATGGTATTGATGATAAATCAGCAAGAACATTGATGTAACAGTGAAATCAAACCCCTTCTTTCTGACATTACTGATGTAAACTTATGTAAAATAACTTTCAAAGCTAAAAAAATCTATATATTGTTTGATGGAATAGGAATAAATAAAATCCAAATAATTAGCTGTAGTGCAAGTGCCATCTCAAATTTATCCAAATCCAGAATATTATAAATGATTTTTCCAAAAAAGCTACTAATACAGATGATATAGGTTATGAAAACTTTATTCCAAATTGAAATAGACAATAATTGCTCAAGAAATTTTAAAACATTATTTTAATCAAGAAGGAACTTACATTAATAAAATAATAAATTTAAATATAAACAGAGAATTCCATATTGAAGTGGAATTTTATTTAAGAAAAAATGGTGTTATAACTTCAAAAACTAATAATAGGATTGAGGTGCAAACAAATCCATTGGAAGTGAGTTCATCGGCAAGTGTATCATCTGCATTTTAATTTAAGTCAACTTATAACTGATCCTATTTTAGAAACAAGACATTGGATTAATATCCTAATTTATGTAAGGAATTCAGTATTGAAAATTTTAATTATTATGGCATTACTGATGAGAAATCATGCTCGTTATGCAGTTTAGATTATAATGATAAGAAAAGTATAGAAGGTAGGTATAAATCTGGATTTTACTTTATTAAATGTGAATAACATGAAATTGAGATAACTGAATGGTTTCATTATTTTATAATACTATATTTGCTCACACTTCACTGTGATATTTTTTATTTTTTTTATAGAGTTAATTTATGTTAACTATTACCTACTGTAATTTAAATTGATTTGCAATCATATAAAAAGGCAATATAAGCAAATCTGATAAAGTATTAATCACTGAGTATCTGGATTGGCTTGCCAAATTAATTGTGTAAAATTATTATTTCCTATATAATATTAGTATAATATAGTGTTCCTTATGAGTCAAGTTAAGTTGAGTTTCAAATCAATTTTTTATATGATAAAATTTGTTCTATGCTAATTTTTATAATACTTTAACTATATTATTTATGCTATGTGAATCTATACAAGTTATTTTGAGTCACATATATAAGACACTAGTATAATAAGATTTTTTATTAATTATAAAATATAATTTTATAAATTTAATTTATTAATAATAAAATGAAATAATACCAATCTTAATTTTATATAATACAGTTAGACTTTTATATACTATGTACTAATAATTGCTTATATTAATAAATTTTCTATGTCTCATATTATAAAATGCCAATAAAACTATTATTAAATAAAAAAATTATAAATAATTCATTAGTTTAAATATATATAGAATTGGAAATTCTATAAGATTTAAAATTAAAAATTAAATAAGAAGATACATAACAACTGTTCTTATAGAATAATAACTTTTTTGCTAACACAATTGGTATTGATCTTAATATGTTTATTCCCTATGTTTACTTAATAATAAGAAGTTTTTTTCAAAAGAAAAATACAAGGACCCTATGTTTACTACTTTACTTAATGATAAGAAGTTTTTTTCTAAAAGAAAAATACTAGGAACTCAAAACTATTGTTAAGTCAAAGAGAATAGCATTAACTATTGCAACTCTTTTTTTTAGAAGTATTTGTTAATGAATTTTACAATATTATTTGGCAACTACGCTGTAAGGCAGTAGTAGAATGGAAACAAACTAACAAACTAAAGGTATAAAAAAACAAGATTCAAGAAAAAGGTCATTAGCATATTAACACATTATATATAAATAGATTTAACTACACAGACAGAGGAGGGTATATTTGACTTGAAAAAAAGAAAAATTTTGAAATATAATGAACAATGGTTAATAGCATTAGGAAAAACAAAATAATATATAAACCAATTAATTAGAGAGGGAAACAAAATATTTTGGAAGGTATATAATAATACAAAAATATACAAATATAACATAACCTTTCTTTTTTTTTTTATCTAGAAGGTAGTAAAAGCATTTACTTAAGCCTTATGAAATAATAATCCTATATAATTCAATAGCATCTATTGAAGGATATAAGTGAATTTTATAAGGTGATAGTAGGGCACAGAAGCAATTTTATAGATTAGAGTTTTAATAAATTAATTATATAATAGAAGTTTTTGTACTTTTACATATAATTAATAAACTCACAAATTGTATTACCTTGGAAAAGAAAAAAAAAATTAAAAATTAAATACTTTTTATTAAAAAAAATTTTTATTATATTAATATAAAAAAATCTTTTGTTTTTGTGAATATTTGCTATATAGTAAACAAAAATGGTTAAAACTAAAAATTCACTATAATGAACTTTGATTGTAAATAACTATATAAAATAAATAGGTAATAGTATAAAATATTATAATATAATCATGTATTTTTCCTAAAAAAATTTCTTAATTCTTAGAAATTTAATACATTTTAAATTACTTCTGAAAATCACTTTTTTTGAAATAAAAACTGTAGCTTATTATTTTTAAATTAAGAGCATCACATTTGTTAGAAAAAAGTAAATATTGGCAGTATTTTTTTTTTATAAAAAAAACTATGAAACCTATAAATAATAATAATTATTAGTATAATTGAATTATCATTATTAATAATTTAAAGCATATAAAATAAAAATTATTTGATACGATAATTGTGATATGATTTTATTTATTGAATTTTTACGTACAAGTCACAATTTTCATTCCAAAAAGGGTGATTCTTAGAAGTAAAAAATTTAATTTAGAATTGTGTAAAATTTCTAAGAATAGAAATTTTTTTTAAGAAAAATACATAATTATTGTTATAATCTATTAATTCAAGTTACTAAATAAATTACATTATATATATAATACAATTTGTTCAATAACTAATAATTAATATATTATATAACATGATTAGTAATTAATAAAATTTTATTAAAAAAATTAATTATATTGAATTAAATGTCTTTTTAAAAGAAAATAAAAATGAATATATAATCAAATTAGATTGTTTGATCAGTAGAGGATGAATCTGAAAGGGCATATTTTGGCAATTATACATGGATTTTAATTAATAAAGATTAAATTGTTTTTTATATATTATAAGACTGCATTCTAATGCACAATCTAGTAATTTAAAAAATTACTATTTAATACGAAAAAAAAGAGAAAATAAAAACGGATTGATTTTTTATTCAATCCGAATGGATTTCAATCTGTTTTAATTTTCTCTTCACTTTTATTTTTGAAGACAATTTTTTTTCATCATATTATGTATTGATAGATATTCATAAGATATCTCAAAAAAAAAAATTCTTTTTATTGACTTAATATTTATAGAATGGCAGAAATGTGTTTATTTACGGATTGACAGATCACAACTCTACTGATCAGTTTAATATTTTTTAGTTTTTTTTTTATTTTTAATATTTCTATTTTTTTTTTTAATATAACTGATATATAAAATATATTAAATATATACCAACTAATTAAATTTTCCAAAAGAAATTTATTTAATATTAACTTAAAATATTTGATATAATTTTAAAGCAATTTTATTGGTTAAATACAAGAATAAAATTTAAAATTTCCATTTTATTAATTTATTTGAAATATAAAAACTAATTTTTAAAATTTAAAAAACTAAATATAAATTTTTTTACCAATAATATAAAGATATTTTTTTATTACTTTTTAATATTTTAATTATTTAATATCAGTATAAATCTACTAGTTAAATGGATAAATTCAATTTATTAAATAGTATAAATAAAGTTATATAAAAAAAAACAAAAAAAACAAATAATTAATATTTAGACAATTTAACAATTATAAATTGAATTAAATATTTATTCCTATATAAATCTAATATATCTAAACATTTATTACATTTTATAATTGAATTTAAATATAATAATTTAAATTAATAAATAGTAGTGATAAATTTTAATAAATTGTGTAACAATTCAAATATATTAATAAAAAATAATGCAATAATAAATATATAATTATGAATTTAGATGTGTAAGTTACTAAGTAAATGTATTAATTTAATAAAAAAAAATTCAATTATTAATGGCAATTAATCATATTCAATGGTTGAAGAACAGCATGTCTTAAAGTTATTTTTGGAAATTACAATTTAGGAATTATAGTATTACGTAGTACATATTAAATTCGCATTGGGCTGTTTCCTTGTTGCTTTGAAATCATACAATAGGAAAATTTGTATCCATTTTTTATATAATTTCAGATCAGCATTGGCCAGAATTATCGCGCGCATTGCATGTTTTTTCGCCCAAATATAAATTTCAAAAAAAAAAAAAAAAAAATCACTGATTTTCATCTTGATATTGTTGATTTAGAAAAAGAAAAAAAAAGCACTCAAGAAAACAATATGGCCAATTCTGAGATCGATCTAGAAAGTGTTCGACAAGACTATTTAGCGTCTTTGCAAGACTTAACATTCAACTCTAAACCTATAATTACTAATTTGACGATTATAGCACAGGAGAATATTAATGCTGCAAGGGCAATTGTACAAGCCATCGAAGAACAGATCAGAACCGTAAGTATTTTATTTGTAATGTTCGGGATGTTAAGTAAATAAAGTAAAGCACCTCTTAAAGTCTTGCTTTAATAAAGAAAAAATGATAAAAGACCAGGAAAATTTTAAAGATATCCATATTTTAATAAATTTTTAACATAAAAAATAAATGACATGTTTATTTAGTGTCCACCACAGCACAAGTTGCCAGTGTTATATCTTCTTGATTCTATTAGTAAAAATGTTGGAGGAACATATATCATGTTATTCTCTAGAAATCTTTATCAAACATTCATGGACACTTACAATTCGGTAGAACAAGCTACAAAAAGTAAACTTGAAAGAGTGTTAGCTACGTGGAAAAGTGGACCAACAGGAAATCCTGTGTATTCTTCGGAAGTTACTGGTCCAATTGAAAAAACATTGTCAAAGCAACAAATGAGATATCAATCTCGAGGATCGATTGATGGTGGAAGAACGCACATTCATATTAATCCTAATTTCTTGAGCGGAATTGTAGGTTTTTTGTTTTATAATTTAATTGAAATTTTCATGATGGTCATTTATTAAATATTGCTTATTTTATAAATAGAACTCGAACAGTTTAACTTCATATCAACAAGCTCAACAGTTGCAACAAGTACAGCAAGTACAGCAAGTACAGCAAGTACAACAAGTTCAACAAGTTCAACAAGTTCAACAAGCGCAACAGCCAATTCAACAAACATCAAATGTGTGGGTTGATGCGGCTAGGTATAACAGTGGAACATCTGCATTTCCTGCTTCAGCACCTACTCGCCAAGGATTTTACAACACAACTCAGGTTAGTTTGTTATTGAATTTATATTGTCTGTTTTTTGGTTATGATTTTCTGTTATTTTCTTTATTGTCGTATATTCGTAGTTATATTTTGTCTGCATCAATACGATCTTTTATTTCTATTACATTATAAGACTGTCTGTTTTTTATATTTAAAAAATGCAATCTTTTATAATCATTATAATTGTCCAAAGTTTTCCTTTTTCTTTAAATGTCTTTATTGTTCAGAACCTCGAGTTTACCGATAATCAACTCTGGTTCTATCTAGTCAAATTTATTTGGGTGTATCTGATTGGGAAATCATGTATAATAACAACAAATATAAAACTTCTAAAACCAACAGAGGTCATTTATGTTGTGACGTGAAATTGATGGGTGTTAAAATTGAAACCAAATGAAGAACAAAAAAAAACAAAAACAAAACAAAAAAAGACAAACAAAAACAAAAAAAAGAGTATAAAATAAAAATAAACCTGGGAGACTAATGAAAGTTCCCATCCTAATTACATAAATATCTAAAAGGAAAAGAAAAAAAAAAAAAAAAAAAAAAAAAAAAAAAATAAAAAAAATAAAATAAAAAAAAAAAATCGAAAAAAAAATCGAATATATATAAATTTATATCCAAATGAAATATTTCTCCGAAACATTATATGGCATTCTTATATCTTTATATTTCCTTTATTTTCCACGATCCTTACCAAATCCTTGTGCAATAAAGTCGTTTTAACGATGATCAAAAATTATTGTTTTCTTGGAAGTGATGATCAAGTGTATATCCAGAAATTTATGTATAATATATTGATGATTTCCTTATTTCGCGCTCTTCTTTTTTTCTATTATAATTAGTTTGCAAACAAGCCTATTATTCAACAAAACCAAGTGTTTGTTCCACCTCCCGAACAACAGAGACTTTTACAAGAATGTCAAGCCTTGATTTTGCAACGTCAACAATATGCTTTGAGAAATCCCAGTGATTTGCAAAATCAAAGTCAAATTGTCAATTTGCAACAGGTTAGCCTAGAGGTTAAATCGATCCTAGGAGGATTAAGAACATATAATTGTAATTTTTACTAAAGATCATAATATATTATAGCTTTCAGAAGTTCTCCAAAAAGCGTCTCTCACGGTTGATCAAATCCAACAAGTTCGACAACTCTTCGCCTCGTTTAATCAAATGATTAATCCCGCTACAGTTCAAGCTCAAGGACAATCTATTATTTCACCTTCATTCCCTAATTTGACTCAAAGTTTAGGGCCTCCGATTTCAATTACTGGTACAGAATTAAATGTTTATCAGCTATTCTTAGTGTTGCAATTGTCTCATCAGCAAATTCTTTCAACAATTCAGGTTCACTTATTTCGCAACCTCATCCAGGTTCAATTCCAGTAAGATCTCCCGTTCAACAACCTCCTTCTTCGATTCCACGACCACAACCACCACATTCTCTTCTAGCAGATCCAAATGCACTGGTTAAAAATTTAATAGACTTTGGATTACTTACAAATACTAGCACAAATCTTGGTAATGTTGGTTATACTGGGAGAAATAACACCCCTACGCCGCCTCCTTCAAATTCAGTTAGTACGGAACCACCTCTATCTACTGTGAAATCTGTAATGGGTTTGGAAAAAATTCAACTTACTAGTAATGACATTCAACGGTAAATTATTTATTAGTCATATCTTTAATCTTTATGGTCAAAGTTCTAACTTTAAAATTTATTATCAAAAGCAAACATGAGGGAGTAGTTGCGGTTATCTATGATGCTTTACCACGCCAATGCAAACAATGTGGATTTCGATACTCTGGAGATGATGAAGGAAAAGCGAAGATGGATGCTCATTTAGATTGGCATTTTCGTCAAAATCGTCGAATGAAGGAAAAATCAAAAAAGGCACAAAGTCGTAGTTGGTTTGTTAGCGATGAGGTTAGTTTTTTTATTCACATTATAATTTCGAGTTCTTCCTTGTTTTATCCGATAATTCGATTTCTCTTTAATTACCTAATAAATGATGTATTTAAATAACTTATATTTAAAAGGATTGGATTCATTCAAGAGAATCGGACACAAAGAATTCTGCAACTCCAGCATTTTTTGATTTTGATAGTGGTACAACGAAAAATATAACTGGTGGTAATAATACTAATATTCAAACAAATAGAAGAGATGAATTATTTAATGAATCGACGGTTATTGTACCACTTGATCCTGAAAAAGCCAGTAAACCGTGTCCAATTTGTCAAGAAAAATTTCAATGTTTTTGGAATGATACGGATGAAGAGTGGTTATTTCGTAATGCTGTCGAAGTTGATGGCGTTATATATCATGCAACTTGTCATGCTGACGCACTTAAGGTAGGTTTGTGATTTATAGAAAAATTTGTCCATGTTGATATTAATTTTTATTTTTATTTGTTGTTTTAGAACCAAGAAAACGCAAAATTAGCCGAAATCGAAAATACTTCAAGTCCTCCCGTTCTTGGTAAAAGAAAAGCGGTATGATAAAATCATATTATCATCTTCTTCCTTGATTTTCAATTCTAATTATTAACCGTCTGTTTTGTAATAAATTACATAGTCGCCAGAGCATATCTCTGATATGCCCAAACGTCCTGCACTTATATCTTGATGAAACATTAAAAAAAAATTATAATAATTCAATTGTGTTGTTACTCTTTATTCTAGGATTTATTAATAAGATTCCACAAGAATCATCATTATTTTGACATTTTAATTTTAAAAAGGAAAAAACAAAATCTTCAAAACCTTGAAAATACGAGTAAAAAACATCAATAATTTTTTTTTATACAAAATTTGTCTTTTTCTACTTTGCTGAATTGAAAAGATGAATATGAATACTATATTGACGGTAACAACAAACACGGGTAATTCTTTCAAATATATTACAAAAATTTCAATAAAAAATAGATACATATATGTGTGAACAACCGATAAGTTTTGTATTCTGTTTTTTTATCTTTCTCGTTTGGCTGGGTAGGTAATAGTGAATTACGGCTCTTTTGCTGTACTAAAAATTTATGGTTTGTTCATTTTTTAGTTATTGTTTTATTGCTGTTTCTCAAAATGTTCTAGTTTTTATATATTTTTTATAGTGGGTGTAGCAAATCGTGCTTTTCCTTAAATTTCAAATTCTTTTCTTTTCTTTTTTTCTTTCATTTGCTTATTGATATGAATAGAGAAATTTTTCTTTTATAAAATGATATTATATTAAATATTTTCTTATTTGAATAAAGGATAAAATTTTATTTTGATAGATATATAATTGTCTTAATTGCATATATAAAATGTCTCGCTTAAATAGTAGATAAAATAAAAATTCGTATTTCTTTACAAAACTATTATACCGATAAAAATGTGTCTTTTTTTCCTCGATTAATTTATTCTACAATTGATTCACTTTTTACAACTGGGCCAGCTGGACAAGGCGAATTCATAGTATCATCTTCACTTTCATCGTCATCAATACATTCAGAAGTAAATAATTGCTGCATGCTACCACCAGCAGCGAACGTTCCCAATGGATTTGATTGTGCTAGAGAAGTAGATTTAACTTGATAATAAGTATCATTCTTCTTTGCAGTTAGTTTTTCACCTACATAATCAACATGAACGCGATCCATTTTATAACCGGGCGAATAAACTTGATATCTACGATTAATATCGCTAAGTAAGGAGGAAATCGTAAATCCATCTTTATTTGAATTAGATGGAGTTGTAATATCGGGACTCAAACAACTAACAAGTTCGTCCATAATAAGTTTAGCAGCTTCTTTTGCAGGTGTTTTTAGTAATTTAGAGGGTGCCACAGAAAATTGAATTGTAACAGGTGGTGAAATCCCAGCAAAATCATAATCACTATCCATTGATGGTAAAACAATTGAATCACTAGTTAAAGTACTTTCGTTTGAAGATTTTTTTATTTCAATCTTTTTACTTCCCCATGAGGGTGATTGTAACATCTTGTGAGCATATTGTGGTTCTTGTAAAGGAGTCGAAGTCAGAGAATTATATTTTGAAGGATTATTTAATATCGAATTGGTCGCAGCCGCTTCACTCGTTCCCGATTTTAATGATGAAGTTCCATTAATATCAAAATTCTTTTTCAAATCAATATAATCTAGTGCTGAAATTGTATCATTTGCAGTTGAATTTGGATTTAAAGACTCGGAAACATGCTTTGGAAGATTATTTAACATCGAATTAGTTGCCGTTGCTTTACTTGTTTCAGATTTAAGTGAAGAAGTTTCATTAATAATAAGTCTCTTTTTCAAATTGATATAATCTTCAGAAGATGTTGCTGAAAATGTATCATTTGTAGTTAAATCTAAAGACTCAAAAAATGACCACCACAACTAACAAAAAAAAAGTTGTATCAATATAAATTAACGCGTTTCTTAAAGAAAATAACATGAAAAAATACAAGGAATAAAACCTTTGAATTTTCCCAAATGTCCTCGGAAACGCAAGCAAAACGCGTTATTTGTGGCAAAACCTTCGTTGTAACTTTATATTGACACGCTGAAAAGTTATGGTCTACCTCTTGTAAAGTTAAAGTAATATTTTGTTCCAACTTTTCAAGTCTTGCCGTTAAATCGTTTACTGAAGAGAATGAAGAGAACATGTTTTTAAGGAAAGTATTCGACGTAGGAGGTCAAGTCGCGCACCACGAGATACTTTTGTAATTAAAGCGCAGAAATTTCACGTGATTTTCTGGAAATTTTATTCATTTATTTTTTTTCTATTTTTTATTCTTATAAGAAATTAAGAATTATTAAAACTTACTTCCACCATATAATATATAATAGAAAACAAATAGTATTTTATTAAGAGAAGATTTCACTCTGGACAAAGATGAAATAAATAATTTTTAACAAAACCTTTCCTTTTTTTATAATAAATAAACTTTATTTTATTTTTTCCAGAACACAAACTTTTCTGATTAACTTCATTTTATAAACACTAATTTTGTTTTTATTTAAATACAAATTTTTATAACCAATTTTTCTCTTCCAAGGATAAGAGTAAACAACACACTACTGACAGCTGGTCAATAATTATAGCTGGATATTTTAAAACACAATAATAAATATATAACAATATTAAGAGAGTATGATACCAAACAAATTCTTTATCTGTTATTGATAAACTTTGTTTATTTCTAATAAAATAGCAACCTTTCTTTTAACAGCTTTACACTATACTCAATTTTAAATAAAGCTATATTGAATTATGTAAAGATACCATTACATAATAAACAACAACTTTTCAAGATGACTTTTTAGATATTTACCAATATAATAAGAACTTCCCCCTTCTTTTTTCCTTAATTTTTTTTCTTAGGCCCTTTTCAAAATAAATAAAATCTTATCTTCCTTCATAATGTATTTTGATATTTAATTTTGTTCACTTTACAAAATTAGGCCAGTCGGTTTGAGTTGATAATTATTGGCTAACAGAATTGTGTAACTTGATCGGTCCAATTTTCTCAAACGTAAAAATTAGCGGCAAAAATGGTTTATCAAAAATCCGAACATAATGACATCGGAAATGAGTAGTTAAATTTCGCGAACAAATTTAAGTTATAAAATTTTTTTTTTTTTTTGTTTAAGATAGGGTAAATAACGATTGAGGGAAAGCTTTAAATTTTTAATAAATACCCAAAAATAAATCTTTACATTTACCAACATTTACTACGGAAGTAAAGAATTTTAATTCACTAAATATATTGTGTATATACAATATATTACGTCTATTCAATATACGATAAGTAATATTGCTATGATTTACCTTCAGTGAGTGACGTGGGTGGAATAAAGCTAAAGAATATTGAAATGATTAAGGCGAAAGAATGAGACTTCATAATAAAAGCCTTCTTGGATTCAGATTTGTCATATGTAGATAAGCAATGGTCAATTGCTACCATTTTATATTACCTGAGAGATATAATGCTTTTTACCTTCATTTTGACGTTGTAGGCTCCTTTGAAGAAGATAAAGTTCGCGGACCATTCGATAATAAGGGTGAGGATATCTGTTGCACTTTAATGATCATATTAATTCATGGATTGTCCATAACTTTAAAGATAAATAATAATAATATTATTTTTTGATTAATCATAATATTGTCAAAAAAAATCAAAATCACGTGCGTATTTTATCTTAATTTATTATAATTATATATTACAAATTATAGAAATTCGTACTATAACTAATTGTCTGGAGCGAAACGAATGAAAGTGATCATAGATGTTTCTCTTTCCACTCACATAAATAAAATCGCAAATTTTAGTTTTATCTTGTTATTGTAGATTTGTAATATATACTTTATATTTGATCTTTTCTTTCATATACTTTTTATAAACATAATTATGTATTAGAAACTCTCATTCATAATAAGCCTTCCATCTTTCAGTGGCACATTACCGAATGAATTAAAGATAATATTTAATATATTAATATATACTAATATGTGCAGTTAATATAAATCTAGAAAAAGCAAATATTTTCACAGTCAAGCGAGGGTCACAAGTCATATCATAACATTATTATACTTTGTAAATTGTATATTCTATTAAATATTGTCCAATCAAAATGTACTACCTACCTCATAAATTTGACTGAAACTTTACAATTATCGGCTTCCATTAAGTTCTTTTTTACTATAATGAGACTTAATACTCTTTGACCAATTTTGGGTAAATGGCAATAATTTCTATTACGATAATAAATTCGTGTTACATTCTCAATAACAGTTTCATGACACGAGATTTTGTTTGCAACACTTATTCAGTATATTATTGAGATTTTACTCTAGACCTTGAATAGTTATTGATAATGTTGATAAACTGTAAGAATCTGGATCTTATGTATAAATTCCACGAGAATTAATAATTTGATATCTTTCCAGTGATGAAACTCATGTCTATAAATGCAGGAGGTTTTTCCATCTTCATAATAATATTACGTAAATAGACGCTCGATAGAAACTCACTAGTACATTTTAAAAAATGATCCGTAATTCGTCTAGATATTTTCTAATATTTTTACATTTTCTAGAAACAGTTAGAATGACTAGATTCCAAGGATTCTATTTTTTTTTTTTTGAATTACGAAATAAAAAACATTTAACTCGTATATCGGAACACAGGTCAAAGGTTAACTTGTCGTCCGTAAACCCTACATAGAATGGCTATCCATATTAACCCTAATTTAGTTCTTTTAAGAAAATTTCGTTTACAAAGTATGGAAAAAATGAAATCTAGAAAATACGCTGATAGGAGAATAAGACTGTTAATCTAGAAATGCAAGGTTTATAACAGACAATAGTGTAGACTAAATTTCCCCGACTTCCAAATGATCTGGCAACATACGTTAAACTTACTCTAACATTTCTGGTTATGTTTTTGATATTCAGAAAATTCTACACATCGAAAACGAATTCCGAATTAAGTTATTTCTTGTCGTAACTGTTTATCAATCTAAAATAACCAGTAGTGATTTGTTATTCACAAGTGGTTAAGTCTTGGAATCTTCCTTCAAGTTTAATCATTTAGTTAAACCGACTTCATTCAGAAGTCATCAGTTTCTGGTATTCTTAATTTTTGTTTTAGATTTTTTTTTTTTGTTTCAGAAATAAATAGTGGTAATGTCTAACTAATACCCCACTAATTACTTCATAATGAAATGCGGTATTTTAATAGATTTGCACGTAATAATCAAATCAACTCATTGATTAGATACTCTTTTTTCACGTGATTCACTATATGCATATCAAAATTCCTGAATCAACAACTATTTTTTCTTAAATGAATTTTTTAACTAATTATTATTTTTATAATTCTTTTATTTGAAGTTACTTAAAATTAAAAAATTGCTCTATTCTAAAGTTATAAAGAAAAAATCAGAAGATTTATATAAATAATAAAAAGATTAGTAAGAAGAAATCTGTATTAAATAAAAAATCAAAAAAAAAAATAGTGATAAATATAATTTAATTAATAATAAAGAGTTAAATACAATTTATTATACAAAAATATTTTTTATTAAAAGAATTTCAATTATATTAAAATAACATAATTAATATATTATTTACTTAATCAGTAAATATATACTTTAAAAATGTTAATATTATGATTTAATTTAATTTATTAAATAAAATTTATTAGATTATTTAATTTAGTAATTTATTTTTTAAGAGTGAAGATAAATTAACCTTCTTATTTTTATTATTTTTTAAGTTATCATTTATTTTTAAATATATTTATTTTTTTAAAACTTTAAACATTTTTTACTTATATTAAATAAAAAAATCATTTTATATTATATTTCAGTAATATTAAAACCATTAAATTCTTTTTATTAAAACAAATCCAATGGTATAAATTTTATTGAATTTGAATTATTAATTAACTAAAAAAATAGAAATTTATATAATTAATTCTCTTTAAGTATATTCCTCTTAAAATTATAATAAAAATTTGAAAATATATATTTAAATTTAAAGAGAAATTATATATGATCTCTATATATTTAAGACTATAAGGAATATATCTAAAGAAAAAAAATATATTTAAGAGTATACATTAAAAAGTATTAGCTATAATTTAAAAATTTTATAATTAATAAGTAAATTTTACTGTATATAATTTATATATAGATTATTTGGAATTCTATTTTTTTCCTTTTTTTTTAATTATTTTTCTTTCTTATTTCTTATTATTATTTTCATATACTTTATATTATACTATATAAAGTAAAGTTTTAAATAAATTATAATAATACTTGCATTATTATTTATTAAATAATAAAAAAAAAATAATAAATTTTTCTAACTACTAAAGGTGATGATCACTAGTGATTGAAATTATGATAGTTAACCAGCATTAAAAAAATATAGTGTTAGTAAAAATTGATAATTCTAATTAACAGTAATGATCATTTTAAATAAAAATAAAAAATAAATACTTAAATTTTTAAGTACTTTATTAATATTTTAAATTAGTATTTATAAGTATTTTTTAAATATATTTTGTAAAAACTTTATTTACTTATAATAAAAATCACTGTAGAAAATTGGCCTTTTACTAATGATTTTTATTTTACTTTTTCCTTAAATTCTATTGGTTAATTAGTTAAAAAGAAAAAAAATCATAACAATATAATATAAAATTTTCTTTTATAGTAGAATCTGCAAAAAAATTTATATACAATTTTTACTTTAGACTTGAAGATAAACTATTTTATAAGTAATAAGTGGATCCTATTTTATATTTGATAAATACTATTAACAAATAAACATTATAAATATTACTATATTATTAAAATTATATGTTATTTATTATATTTTTAAAAAAAATATTAAATTAGCATATTTTACATTATAATTTGTCTATAAAAAATAAAATTAATTTTGTTGTAAATTTGACAAATCTACATTACATGTATGCCTATTGTGTATTACATATTACTTACAACTTCCACATTTTTTCATCTGTTTAGAATTATTTTGACCTACTACTTTCAGAAAATTTATCAAATAAAGAATAATCAACATTTTGATATGCATTTCCTAAAGATGTACGAAGTTTAGCATTTGTATGGCTAATACATTACTATTTTAAAAAACTTTTATATCTCTTTTGAGTGTTCTTCTACAAGGTTTTATATAGATTGGATTTGAAATTTTTCTTTGAAACTCATCTGTATTTTCCTTATCATTCATTTTACTCAAATTAACTTCCATAAAAAGTATGAAATTATTAAGTAGATTAATATACTCTGATTTTTGATCTAATTGTTTAGAAAATTATATATATTTTTTTGTAATCTACAAGCTTTTGCATATTTTTGACAATCAGTTACATTTTCTTTTAGTTTTAGTGCAAAAATATTTCCTTTACGTATAATATCTGAATAAGAATATTTTAAATTAAAATTTGAATGAATTGATACACTTTAAGAAGTATTAAATAATTGAATTGATAGTGAAGCATGTATTTTATTTTTAGATAATCGTGCAGCTCATCTTGATGAAATTAATTAAGATTGCAGGCGAAATTTCATAATAAATGCGAAACTTAGTAAAACTATATTAAAAATTTAATAATAAATTGGTAAAACCTAATTATAAAAATTATATGTAATAGCAAAACTATAATAAATTCTTATAAAAAAATTGTTGAAACTGAGGTTTAGACATACATTTTGCAAAATTCAAAAACTAGTTTAGCCCGTAACTATAGAATTAATAAAATATTAAAAAATGCTAACGCATTTTTTGTAAAAATTCTAATAAAATGATAATAAATAATTTCTTTATTAATCAACATTAAGCATGTGCATATGTAACTTCTATTTTGTAAAAATATTATATATTGTGTGAGCCATGGTTATGTATTAATTGATGGTTATACTCATTATACTTTAATAATAAAGGAATTTGATATATTTTATATTTGCAGGCTAAACTAGTTTTTGAATTTGGCAAAACATCTAAACCTTTAATTTTGACAATTTTTTTATAAGAATTTATTATAGTTTTACCATTACATATAATTTTTATAGTTAGGTTTTACCAATTTATTATTAAATTTTTAATATAGTTTTACCAAATTTCACATTTATTATGAAGTTTCATCTGCAACCTTAGTATATTTTTCATTAAGTCTTTAAGTAATGCTTTTTTGTAATTATATTTATTTCAATAGTATCATCTTGAGGTAAATATTCAAAATCCTATAAAAGAAAATAATAACTAAAGTTTAATAACATTTAAATATTCCATTTTAATCTTTATTTTGTGTCAAAATATGTTAATTTTATGCTGTACAGTTAAACCTTGATATAGCGAACCCTTGATATAGTGAATTTTTCAGATAACTATAATAAATTTCTCCTTACTTTAATAGGATTTTAAACATTACTA